GGGAAAAAAAATGAACAGAGCACTTCAGTGAGTGGTGGAACGTCAGGCAGCCTAATACTTGTATTATTGGAACTCCCCTGAAGAGAGGGGAGAGCAGAAAAAATTTTGAAGAAATAATGGCTAGAAAATTTTCACATTTGATTAATACAGATCCAAGAAGCTCCGTGAACCCCAGACCCAGGAAAGGTGATGAAAACTGCACCACAGCACATCATGAGTACTCCCCCTCATGGCTCCAGGAAGCTGGCAAAGTGAGGTCTCACACGGCAGAGCCAGGCTTCAGGTCTACCGGAAGGTGGAGGGAAGTGAGCCAGAGGGCAACATGAGAAAGATTTTAAAAGGAGATTGGTGCGGGAAGAAAAAAATCCCACAGCAGCATGAGGATGAGAGGAAAAAAGTCCACTGCCCATTGTAACAGTGGCCCATTTGACGTAGTCTGTGGCCATACCTGTTGTTCCCCCAGAGGTTAAGCTAGCTCTCAGTTTTCCAAAGACTTCCTACTGTTCCTGAGAGCCTGCATTTGTCCAGAACAGCACATTCCTTCTTCTGGAAAATTCTCCTAACCACATGTGTCCTATGGGAATCGTGATTCTTTTATAACCCTTGTCTCCTGTCACTGTGATGAGAGCAGGTGTGAGTCACGGATGCACACCAGTCCACTCCTGGACCTTCCCTGGGAGTTTCGCCTTTAGGAGCAGAAAGACCGAGTCTCTGTCTGTTTTCAGAGGCAAAGCTGAAGATGTGTTTCTGAAAGTTGCTGGCAGCATGTTTTCTGACAGGAAGGAAGCTGGTCAGGAAGAGTAATGGCTGAGGGAGGCCCAGTGGTGTTCCAGTCAACTTTCCATGGTCCCTGAAGCCCTCTGCACCCTGGTCCTTCCCACAGTTCAGTTGTGTGAACCATTAAATTGCCCTTTTTGCCTGAATTAGTACAACCAGTGTATTGAACATTCAAGACACATCAGGGAGTAATCAAAGCTGACTTTATTTTGTCTCCCTGTGTCCCCTTAAAATGTTTTCAGTGTGGGAGGTCCAGAGAAATTTTTTGATACCTCTGAGGTGATAAAAATCCCATGGTCACATTGAGTCACCAATTCCAAAATTAGAGTATCCAGCTTTATGTAAGAGCCATAGCTTTCAATTCATTCAAAGCTACAGTGACTTCCCCTCCCTGCCCTCAGGGCTTCGTACCAGCAGGTGTCTGACCCTGGGAAGGCGATGTGCCCTGCTTGGCCTTCTCCTCCCACTCCTCCCCAGATGCTGGCTGCCGCTTCTGACCTCTTTGGAATCTCTGGGGAAGGGAGAGAGAGAATGGGAGCAGAAAAGGCACAAGATCCTTTTAACACTCTCTCAGCTGCTGAGTGTTTAAAGCTAACGTTTGGGGCGCCTGAGTGGCTCAGTGGGTTAAAGTCTCTGCCTTCGGCTCAGGTCATGATCCCATGGTCCTGGGATTGAGCCCCGTATCGCATCGGGCTCTCTGCTCAGCAGGGAGCCCGCTTCCTCCTCTCTCTCTGCCTGCCTCTCTGCCTACTTGTGATCTTTATTTGTCATAATAAATAAAACTAAAAAAAAAAAAAGCTAATGTTTGTGGGGTGCTCTGATAGGCATTTTAGAGACCCTCCTCCAACGAGGGACCTCTGCTTTGCAGTTCCCCTGAGAGGGGCAATGTGCCCACCAGAGCCTCGTCACTCCTTCTGCAGCTCCTGGACTTGGTGTCTGCCCCACTGCTCTCTGCGGCAGCCCTGGCCACCCTCCAGACAGGTGTTTTGGAAGGGACCCCAAACAAACCCACACCGGCTCATTCACACATCCTTTTCTGCAACAAATCCTGGGAGCACTGGCCAGTTCTAACGCACCTCTCTTTTGCATCCAGCCCACCTTGTGTCCTTTACACCGGTCAGGTGGAAGTCAGGCACCCGAAGTCCACCATGTTCCCCACTCTTGAAGGGTCAAAGTGAAGCCTCCCTCACCAGGCGTGAGGGAGAAACGAGTACTGCCCATCCTGCCCCTTCAGTGAGATGGAGTCCCTAGCACAGCTCTCTCCAGGGAAGCAGTTCAAATTCTCCCTCCTTAATTGCTCATAGCTGGTTACTTTTATATTTGGTGGAGGGAGGGCCTTTCGAATTATGTGGCAAGCTCTCAGATATTTTTTATAGCTCAGTCTAGAACCTCACTTTAGTGTCTGAAGTGTATCATCTCACAGGCTTGGCTGAAATACTCTTTTTTTTTTTTTTTTTTTTAAGAGAGCTCAAGCGAGTGAGCAAGCAACGGGGCGAGGGTGGGGTGGCACAGGGGGAGACTGAGAATCCTAAGCAGCCTCCAGGCCCAGTGCAGAGCCTGACTCGGAGCTGGATCTCACGACCCTGAGATCGCAACCCGAGCCGAAGTCCAGGGTCGGATGCCTCACAGACTGAGCCACCCAGGCACCCCTGAAATACTCTTTTTAGCGTGCGATTAGATTATTGATTTGGATAAATGACCGTCGTGACCAAATAGTCCCGGTAATAACAGTCAGCAGACACTTAGGGACCATCGACTGGGTGCAGCCACAAAAGAGAAATGTTTCCAGTCCTCATGGGCTGCCAGCCTAGGACAGAGTTTATAGACAGCCCACTGACTGAGTCCTGCCTGGGGACATACTTTGGGTAATCCTCCTACTAATCTTTAAATTTTCCTTGAATGTACTGTTAATAGTTATACATTGAGAAGGTTTACCTTTAAAGAACCAGATTCTTGGCTTTAAAAAAAAAAAAAAAATCAGAACGTGGCAACGCTGGGCCTGCATCACTGGCTGCCTTTGTTATCTGGCGCTGGCGGAGACCCCCCTCCTTCGGCAAAGCATGGAGTCTCCAGATGGGCTCCACTCCCTCTTGGCTCTGTGACCCGAAGGCAATGTCAGTTGCCATTTATCACTGTTGGGCTCACACAGTTACCTTTCCTTAAATTACAGAGTAAAATGAAATATCCTGGTACTCAGAGCAAGAGCAAAGACAACAGTCCAGGAGAGCCATGAAGGGAATTTCTTTAGAAACACAAAGTTTTCTAATCTATTTAATATGCAGTTAGCATGTGTATGTGGGAAACCAAACTTAAGACACCACTGGAAAATAATCTGTAGACATTATGGCTACTGTACAAAAATGCACAGTGAGAAAAAGACATTTCGACAGGATGGATTTGTTTTCAGTGCAGCTAAAATCAGTAGTATGAGTTACTATGGGAGAGTATCACATTCCCCCTCCTTCCCTTGTTTGTGTTATGTTCTTACTTGGCCCTGACATCTGAGTTTGCAATGAGGGGAAAACATTCTCTGGTGTCTGGAAGGAACCAGCCAAAGCATGGATTCATTGTATGTCCAGGGAAGTCTTAGCTTGGGCCCGAGGAGCCGTAGCAGGCTGGTTGCCCCAAGGTTATGACCACATGGGGAGAAGCAACAGGTGTGGGCACATTAATGAGATTTTCTTTTTCTTTTTTCTTTTTTTTTTTTTTTAAATGACGAATAGTCTTGCTGGAAGAGTATTAACCTTCAAAACTAACCCTTTTTGCAAATTTTGTTTTCAGTTTATTTTTAAAATTGAAGCCTTTTTTTTTTTTCCTTGCTGACTTTTATAGATTCCTGATATATTAAGCAGTCTCCCATCCACTTATCTGAGTTAGAGCAAAAGCAGAATTATTTTGAGGAAAGGCTTTGACTGCCCGCGCGTATTCTCCTGGGAGGCCAGTTTCTGTTGGGCTGTGCGTCCTAGTTGGTATCTTCAATTTCAAGAAGAGGAATTACTCTTATGCTTAAGAAAGAGTTCAAATCCGGGCCTTACTTGGCCTTGCAGAATGGCTCCTTCGAGGTACTTGTCAGTACGTGTAACTTCCTTCTCTTGGCCCATCTTAGCTTATTAAAGACAGAGTTCCTCCAAAGCCTTGCCTCATGGTCTTTTTCATTTAGTTGTTTGGTCTCGGTATTCTCTTTTATCCTCAGGTGAAGCCAGGCCAACTGAGAGCTGCATTCATAGGCTGCCTTATTTTGATGTAGCCACTCTACACACACACACGCACACACGCGCGCGTGCGCACACACACACACACACACATACACACACACATTTTGCAATCATTGAACAAAGGTACAAGAAATCACTTTTTGGCACTTCTCAAGTCTTCATAGCATGAATAGCTCTGATTCTCCTGGTTTATTTTATGAACACTATAAACCATTTTATCAGTGCTTTGCACTTAGCTTTTGCTAATGCTGAAGAAATCTTGGGGTGGGGTAAATCTGTAACCTTCCTCCAGCGAGCACATAGGACCTTACAGGTCATCCGGTTTTGGTATTCTTGTCCTGGTTGTATTTTGTTATTTTTCTTGTGCTTATTTTCCCCTTCGGTCCCAGATACCTTCTTTTTAAAAATCTTGTACTTCCTGCAACTTTGTAAAACTACTTCAACTTCATTTTACAATGAGGGAAGATGTAAAGAACTTAAACCCTCCAGGATTTATCAGTTGTCGTAGACATCTTACAACTTATTTTTAGATTTCATTTTCAGTTCCCTAATATTTATGTAACTAGATCTGTCAGGTCTTTGTGGCTGTCATGAAGAGGCTGGGTTCATTGCCATGGATTCGAAGACCCCTTGGCTATGGAGTGAAGATGTAGTGAACACGACTGCTTCAGCAAAAATTAAGATTCGAACTTAGAGGAAGCAGAGATTGCTTCTGGCCCTGTTAGTTCTCCGGGGGTCCGGTTTTGTGGTTTAAGTAAATTTCAGTCAAGTACCACATTTAAACAGGAAGACTGTTACATGCCAGCATAGGACTGTTGGCCTAGAGGGTCTGGGAAGCACCTGGCATTGAACCTGGTCCTTTATAAAACAGGTGTTCAGCAGTTCTCTGACGTAAATTTAGTCGTGACTTATGTGTTTGGCTCTGTTCCTTGAGCAGTTGTCTGTTCCATGGTCTGTGCAATCAGCAGTGGCTTCACTCCAGTGACATTTTCTGCTTTTCTTTTCCAGAGTATGATCGGTTGGGTTTCCTCCTGAAGCTGGACTCCAAGCTGTGAGTAGAATGCAAAAGCGCCTTAACTCTGTGGTAGAGATGTCTCTGGGGGCTGGGGTCCAACTTCAAAGGGTCACGTGCTCTGCCCTGTGTCTGTTGGGGGACTCCCTGGGGCCTCTGGCCTCAGTCTGCCAGCAGACTCTTGGAGCATATACCACTTGCGGGATCCCAGAGAGGATGGGATTGTGGGTGCAAACATAACGCCTGAGACTTGGCTGGCACGGACAGCTCCTGCCAGGTTCGGGGGACAAGGAGTTCCCCGGGAAGGCTTCTGCTACAGAGCAGAGGATGGTTGAGTATGGTTGAGTTGCAGCAGGAAGCAGTGACCAGGCAAAGATGTCCTGCAGCCTGGCGTGCAAAGCCTTCTGTGATCAGACCCCCTCCCCCACAGTAGCTCCTATCCCTCTGCCGCAGGCAAACCCTCCATTCCCCTCCACCTCGGCTTATGCTTGTTATCTGTGCCTGCTCTGCCCTTTCCTTGCTGCCCACCTCGGAAAACTCAAAGACCGCCTCTTCCCTACACAAAATTCATGATCTCTTCCATGATGCTTCCTCTGTCACCAGTGATCTCATCATACTATAATTAACTGTGTGATAATTGTCAATTTATCAAGAGCACGGGCTTGGTGCCAGGCTCACTTGGTTGGAATCCTGGATTGCCATTTCCTCTTTTTGTCATTTGGGGCAAACTCCTGAACCAGTTTGAGCCTCAGTTCCATCTGTAAGATGAGGACACCAATATGCCTACCTCCCAGCGTTATGGTAAGGATTTAATGGAAATGATTAATTCGTATGGATTTTCAACTACAGAGTATCTAATCCTCTGTTCTGGCCTTCTTGGTCTCCCTAGCACCTAACCAGGGCTGGCGTGTTTGTGAGGTGCTGGATAAACCCAGGCCGTGGCTGCATGGATGGATGCATGAAGGACAGGTGGATGACCGTGCACTTCCCCTTTAGGCTGGGATGCCTCGAGATGGGGCTGCAGCCATTCTGTGTGTCCGTGCCCTGCATGGCTCCTCGTGCCTGGCTGGTTTGCAGTAAATGTTTGCAAAACCACCTGTGGCTCCTTTCGGTTATCCGTCGTCTTTGTGCACCCATGGCCCTTGTTCCATCCCAGATGGATGTGGAAGATGGGAATTGTGTCTCCTTCCTTTCCTCCCTTGCATGAGCCCTTGACCATAGCTGATTGTGATGGTGATGACTGCACCTACACATGAGACATCGAATCTGGGGCTCTCCGGCTTTCCCACTGAATTGTCCAGCCTCTAGGCCTGTTTCATGGTTGTCTGGCTTTGTGGTTCTTGTACCTCGTACTGTGAGTTCAGGCGTCGTAATTCTCCCAGCTTTTACACATCACGGAGGCAGCCCCAAGGGAAGGATGGTCTGCCCTTTACGCCAGGTGAGCAGAGAGATGTCAGCCACATGTTAACATCTGGGGAATGGGGCCCAGTCATGCTAGAAAGCCACAGGCTACCCCCTTAGAAAAGTTCTTAATTTAGTGCTCTGGGCGAAAAAGAAATCAAGCATAAGCTGTAAACAAGTGAAATGCCACCAGAATGGAAGAGATGTAGTGATTTACCAAGTCAGATCACATTGATGAACAAAAGGCATGTTTCCTAGGACGTATTAACTACAGTTTTTAAACTGTCTCCAGCATGAGGAGGGGAATTAGGAGGACAGTCCTGTCACTGCTGAGCTGGCTAGTACATGGTGGGCTGTTGTGCGGCTATCTGTTGCCCACCAGGCCAGGCCCATGAACCATTTGAGTCAACTTGGTCTTTAGCCTAGGGAATAACTCACAAGTTAAGGTACAAGCTAGAACGTTTCTGCCTCTGATTGCAAAGACTTCTCCAGTCCAGTGCTTATCTTCAGAAGAAAGCATAGCCATGTGGGAATGATTTTTATCTGCTTCCAGGGAAAAGTTTCCAAGTTCAGGGTTCTGAGCTCTGGAGGTGATGCCTTAGCAGTGGCCAGATCTCCTCTTCTGAAGAAGCCTCCTGCTGTATTGCGTTCTACTTCTGAAGTACAGGAGGGAACCCAGACTTGAATCAGAAGGGCTAGATTTAAATTCTGTCCCTGCTGCTTAGAATTACATGACTGTAGATAATTTGTCTGAGTTCTCTGAAAACCAGTGTTTCCTTATGAAAAACACAGATGATAATACCTGCCTCCCAAGGTTTTTAGGAAGAATAGAAGAAAGGGTTGTATAAAATATGAATACATTTATAAATGTAAGAATTTCTTTTTATTTGTCTTGATTGAATTTGTTTAGATTTTTAAATATTTAATTTTCTAAAGTAAACCTTTTTTTTTGTTTTACAGAATTGATTTTTAAAATTGAATTATAGTTGACACACAATCTCACATTAGCTTCGGGTGTACAACATAGTGATTTGAAGAGTCTGTATGTTATGCTTTGCTCACAGCAAGTGTATCTACAATCTGTCATATACTTCTGGAGTATAGGAATGCATATGTTCTGGAAAATTTTCAGGCATTATCTGTTTAAATATTGCCTTTGCCCACTTTCTCTCTACTCCCCTTTAATCAGTTTAAATGTTAGACCTTCTCATTCTAGCCTCCAGGTCCACCATCATCTCTTCCCTATTTTCCATCTCTTGATCCTTTCCACATTAAACTGGAATCCCAAAGGACTCCGCGTAGGATGAACTAGAAGGAAACCTGCACTTCTCCGCCAGAAAAGGTTGCCAGAACTCTGAGTGGATCAGGGCCATAAGTTAATAAAAAGCGACACTTGGTATTTGCAGCCAAGTGATCTATGGAATCTTGAGCCATGAACTTTAAGTATATGAGAGTTTAAGGTAGCCTAGACTGGCAGTGCCGCCAAGGTCTTGGCAGAGGCAAATGTAAGTCTGCTTTGGAGGAAGACGTGAGCTCCTTGCAAATAACCTTTCAAGTTAATGAACAGTAAAAACAAATAAGCACACGAGGAAATAAGGCTCCATTAGTGAGAACCATGAAAAACCCCAGACAACAGAGGGGAACCCACAAAGACTTGTGAAATTGGAATTACCAGACACAATTGATAAAGCAATTGCATATATACTGTATTTAAAGAAACAAAGACAAGATCGAATTATGTATTACATACATGGAATAGGGGATTATAAAAAAGTAAAATATTAGATTGGAAAAACTAAACTTCTAGAATTGAAAAACACATTTAGTAAAATTAAAAAGTCAGTAGGATTTAGCAGTAGATAGAACTGAAGACTGTGTGAGTGAACGGAAAGATAAGTCAGAAGAAATTATCTGTAACGGGTTGGCCAACTTTTTCTGTAAGGGCCAGATGGTCACCATTTTAGCCAATGTTGGCTTTATTGTTTCTGTTGCAACTACTCAGCTCTGCTGCTGTAACATAAAAGCAGCCAGGTGCAGCACATAGACAAATGAGTAGGTCTGTGTTCCAAAGAAATTTCATTTATGGACACTGAAATTTTAATATGATTTTTATGTATCATGAAATAGTCTGATTTTTTTTCAGCTATTACAAGTAATTCTTAACTCATGGGCCTTAAGAAAAACAAGATAGTGGATTGGATTTGGCCACAAATCCTAGTTACCTTAATTGAGAGTTCTACACAGATAAAGCTGCATGGAAATTGTCTCCCCACCTCAGGCGCATTCCATTCTTGAAATCCTATTATACAGAAATACTCTTAATTAAAATGTTTCTATGTCTGATGATTCTCCACAAATCTGGGAGTAGATGTTTTGGATTTTTGGTAGGGGGGGTTCACTATATTCTCTTAATTATATCTCTGTGGAGAAAAATAGTTTTCTATTTCTTTTGGGAATTCCCTACTGCTTGTGTTAGAGGACAAAATCATGTGTCAACACTACAGAAAATATTCAGAATACTTAGATGCAGTGAGCTGTACGAAACCTTTTAGCTGCAAGCTATGATGTTCAGGAGGGCAGTGGATTTTGGTGGTTAAAACTTTGGGTGTCAGACATGGGTTTTTTAAAGCCCAATTCCACGTCTTACTAATTATAATCTTGAGTGAGTTATAAAGTGGGGATAATACTAATCATCCAAGGATACGATTCAGCTTATCAGTGTCTGCTGAACTGGGAAGGGTATAACCCTAAAATGAGACTTGAACCTCAGCTTACCTCCTGCTCCCTGTCCCAGATTTCATTTTTTCACTTATTCACTTAGCAAATATTTCTTTTAAAAAAATATATATATTTATTTATTTGAGAGAGAAAGAGTGTGTGTGTGTGAGCAGGGAGAGGTGCAGAGAGAGGGGTAGAGGGAACCCCAAGCAGACTTCCTGCTGACAATGGAGCCTGACCCAGGGCTTGATCTCATGACCCCGAGATCATGACCAAGAGTTTGACACTCAGCTGACTCAGTGTGCCGCGCAGGTGCCCCAGAAGTATTTCTTGAGGACCAACTATGCTCTTTGTAACTGGCATAAAACTGGAAATGCTAAGCCAAACAGATGACCTTATAAGTGTGACTGGAAAGGGTGTGTTGTGAGCTAAAGACTTGGTGAATGGGAAAGGAGTAAATGAGAACAGTGCGGGGGAGCGGTAGGAAGTAGTGTTTCTGGATAGCATCAACAATGAACGGGTTTTTGTTTTTTATTTTATCTGATAAGAATGACATAAATGGTGGCTTGAGAGCGTAGATGGAGTGCAGAGAGGATACAAGGGGTCCTCAGCTGGATGGGGAAGACAAGAATGAGCAGCCTTGGGTGCCTGGGTGGCTCAGTTGTTAACTGTCTGCCTTTGGCTCGGGGCATGATACTGGGGTCCTGGGATGGAGCCCTGCCTCGGACTCCCTGCTTGCCAAGAAGCCCGCATTCCCTCTCCCACTCCCCCAGCTCGTGTTCCTGCTCTTGCTGTTTCTCTGTCAAATAAATAGATAAAGTCTTTAAAAAAAGAAAAGAAAAGAAAGAGCAGCCTCCATCACACAAGGCTGGAGAGGAAATGGCATCTTGGGGGGAGTCCCAGATTTCTGTGAAAGCAGC